TTTAGGGTTTGGGGTTAGAAGGCAGAGTGCCATAGTATTAGGAGTTTGAGGGTAATGAAAGGGTTAGGGTTAGAGTTTCAGGGTCTTTATTATATTTAGGGTTTGGGGTTAGAAGGCAGAGTGCCATAGTATTAGGGGTTTGAGGGTAATGAAAGGGTTAGGGTTAGAGTTTCAGGGTCTTTATTATATTTAGGGTTTGGGGTTAGAATGCAGAGTGCCATAGTATTAGGGGTTTGAGGGTAATGAAAGGGTTAGGGTTAGAGTTTCAGGGTCTTTATTATATTTAGGGTTTGGGGTTAGAAGGCAGAGTGCCATAGTATTAAGGGTTTGAGGGTAATGAAAGGGTTAGGGTTAGAGTTTCAGGGTCTTTATTATATTTAGGGTTTGGGGTTAGAAGGCAGAGTGCCATAGTATTAGGGGTTTGAGGGTAATGAAAGGGTTAGTGTTAGAGTTTCAGGGTCTTTAGTATTTAGGGTTTGGGGTTAGCAGGCAGAGTGCCATAGTGTTAGGGTTTGAGGGTAATGAAAGGGTTAGGGTTAGAGTTTCAGGGTCTTTAGTATATTTAGGGTTTGGGGTTAGAAGGCAGAGTGCCATAGTATGAGGGGTTTGAGGGTAATGAAAGGGTTAGGGTTAGAGTTTCAGGGTCTTTAGTATTTAGGGTTTGGGGTTAGCAGGCAGAGTGCCATAGTGTTAGGGTTTGAGGGTAATGAAAGGGTTAGGGTTAGAGTTTCAGGGGCTTTAGTATTTAGGGTTTGGGGCTAGAAGGCAGAGTGCCATAGTTTTAGGGTTTGATAGTATTAGGGATGCACAAATCGCGTGAAGTGGCTACGAACTGCTGGATGTTGCGCTTTTCTGCGTTGACCACACTGTCAAGCGAATCACGTGCAGGCGAAGCAGGGTACAGCTGGGTGACGCGACAACGTCTGGCACTCTGCCTTCCCAGCTGCTGGCACTCTGCCTTCACGCCTCAAGATCCATTAATTATTGCCACCCCAACTTTGCACAAAGCTGGTCGGTCAAAGGTATTGCTCCAGCATCAAGGTCAGGAAGTTCCCCCGGACCACCGAGACGGAGGGCAACAAGTGAGAGGTGTTTCATCTGAAGGACAAACTGCCGTTGTTGTTCATCTTCGTCGTTCCAAACATAAACAAAATCACAAACGAGAGAAACGCGCGGCAACTCCAGCGGTTCTTCTCCTTCACCCACCTGATAACACTTCGGGAAGGGGCCTTGGTACCGTCGAAGAAGCCTGAGGCCTCCTGTAATGCGGGAGCCAATACGTGGCCAGTAACGCAGGTAGCGAACCATGATTTCCCAAGGCACGTCGTCATAAACTTCATTCCATCTCTCAGCTGGTTTCCACTGGTCAGGCGCTTTGGCCAATTTTTCGCAAGCGGTTTTGATCAAGATTGGGGAGAGCTCGCCTCTGAAGAAACACTCTCCTCGTTCGATCGGGGCGAAATGCATTGCTCTGGACGGCTACTGTTCAGTCACAAGCACGCACGGCTTCAAACCACATGTGCTAGTTTGTGCGGCTTCCGGGTTGTGGCACTCGAAATGATTGTCCATGTGCTTGCACGTGACAAATTCCACATGTGTGAAAATGCGAACATGCTTTCGCAATCCGTCTTCCCCAAGCAGAAACACACAGTCTCTCGGACGCATTCCAATCTAGCAGGACCCGCTGCCATCAATGCAAGCACACAGACAGACACACAACTTTTCTTTGCAGCGCAGGATGAATCCTCTAGTTGTTGCCAGGCCTCCTGGTCGGGCCACAACAGGGCCTATGGTCAATGACGTGTTGTCTGGCCTGCGCTTCTGTCATCTTGGAAGCCACACGTCCCCAGTGATAGGGTACGAGGTGGCTCCACTCGCCTTCAATGCCAGACACACATGGGTTCATGTAATGTGACACAACACACAGCAGATCAGGCAACCACATCGAAGCTATAACAAATGTTCCGAATCTTTCCAAGAGACCGCCGTCTGTCACACGAACTCGGAGAAACCATTTTGCTTTGTCAGTGCCACCAGGATTCGGGTCGTACTTCATCTCACCAGCGATCTTGGGACACTCCGGGCATTGAACAGGTGTCCATACCCCTTGGTAGTCAACACGGTTCGGCCGCCGCTGATGTTGGGGGCCACGGACTGCAACCTCCCGTGGCTCGAGTGCTGGGATAGGCACTGCAGGCACCTCCGGCATCTCAGCAGGAGGGGCTGGCACTCTGCCTTCCTCGGGCTCCACGTGATCATCAGGCTCTGGGACAGGGATTGCAGCAGGCACCTCCGGCATCTCAGCAGGAGGGGCTGGCACTCTGCCTTCCGCGGCCTCCACGTGATTATCAGGCTCCGGCTCCACCGGCACCTCAGCAGGAGGTGCTGGCACTCTGCCTTCTGCTCCCTCTTGACCACTTTCATCAGGAGGCGCGGGTTGCTTCCTGGGCAACATACGTGGGCGACAAATCTTTCTCTTGGCTTTCCGTTTGGCCTGTGGCTTGGCCTTTGCTTTGGTCTTTGCTTTGGCCTTGCCCTTTGCCTTGGCCTTTGCTTGCTGCGTCTTGATGGCCTGCCAGGTTTGATGCACCCTTTTGATTCTGCGTTTTCTGACTGCGTCTGAGACCATTTTAAATTCCTGTTTGTCCTCAGCAAGCAGGTCGTCAAGAACCAGCTCATCAACAAAGTCCCCCATGATAATGTCATCCTCATCCTCATCCTCTGTTGAATCTTTGGCTGTCGAATACATAGCCTCAATTTTGCGCATGAAATCCTCATCTTCCGGAAGGTGATGAGAAGCGATCAGGCTCATGAGCTTTGGACGGCGCATTCGTTGCAGCTCCTTTCGCTTTTTTTCGTCTACGTTTCCAGTCTGGGAGATCACATGCTCGGCGAGATTCTGGCAGTCTGCGAGAGTCCGACATGCTTGTGACATTTCCCTCAGTCGAGTCAGCAAAAACAAGCACAGCAAAACTTATATAAGTTTATTGTACTATTTACTGTATGGGTCGACAGTTGACAGAATCCTAAATGAAAACATGTCACTTGGGATGCTGCAACATATAGGATAGAAGTGACACTGAGCTTGTAGCACAACGACGGAGGCAAATGAAGCCATTCCAGAAGACTGCCTCTGTTTCGATGACTTCCCAATACTGGGGCTCATACAAATGAATCCAGCAGGCCTTGACGCTGGAACCATCCGGGCACTCTGCCTTCAAAACAAAATATATCTCTCCTGTCGACTGGTCCTCATGCTGGACCACTGGCCACATGAGAGCAGCCCAGGTTTTTGCCCAAGAGAGAGATAGCATGTCAAATCCAAGACATGGTTCAAGATCTTCAAAGGGGCTGCAAGGCTGCTAAACTTCCCAGCACGCAAGGGAACATGCTGAGATGCCAGTCTTGCATCATTGTAGTGAATTAGCCATGACCACGCAGCTGATGCTCGTTCGAGTGTCTCTTCTGACAGGGTGTTCCATGTCTTGTCGCCGACAATCTCGGTATACTGTGACGGCAGCTTGTGGACACATCCTCTGAAGCACAACTTTTGGCGCTTCCTGTCCACATTCCAAAACTCCCTTTCAAAATATTCCCGTTTGACTTTTGCCGGATGCCTGATTGAACGGCTTTCAAAGACGTTTGAATTCTCGATCACAGTTTGAATCGTGGAGTATGTTTGCTTGCGGGTTTTGTTCAACAAAGAATCATTACGAATCTTGTTGTGCACATCTTCCACAATCTTGTTGTCTGGCAGCGTCTGCACCAGAACACTCAGCAGGTGGGTTGCAGGGCATGCTGGTACCGATATTGTTACAGTCCTTTGAGCTGGCACTCTGCCCTCTTGCCCGTCTAACAAAATGTCACCAACTCCGGCACCGTCATCTGCTTCTTCAGGCACAGAATCCTCCATCTCCCCGTCCTG